AAGAAATTTCAGCTGGGAGTACCCTTGAAGAAATCCAAATTGACTAACACGAGATTAACAGGAGAAGGCAAGGGCTAAACACTAAGAACATTTCTGGACAGCATGGTACAACTGTGGTCTACAAATCCGCGAAAGTGTTGTGGACGAAACGAAAGAAAAAAACGAGTTACAGTAATGAATAACACACTGCCACGTTCATTGCAAAGCTTGTGAAGAAGTTTGCGTGGTATGAACTGGATCGCATGAACCAGATCGCATGAACAAAAAATTTCACTCAAAGTTTAGAACGGACGTGATTTGAACAACAGTCACGTACTGTCGTCCTTGGTATGAGCAAACAAAGGGTATGAATTTATTCAAGCGTTACACTGCGTCAACAAAGTTATCATCATTCGTGTGGACGTTCTCGCAAACTACCATAGGCTAATCACAAGGGAACCGCAGAACTCTAGGGGTGGAAACTATACAAGAAGATATTGAGGAGAGGCAGGTGAGTTCAAACCAAATGGACAAATCAAATTGCTGGAACTATGGAGGTATCCAACGAATCAAAGGGCTAGACCGAACGAGCAGTGTAGAGCGATTTGACAGGGAGAGAAAGTCATACCAGGCATGGGTCAGTGAGACAGACTTCAGAGGCACACCGAAGACAGATATGTTGAATCGGGAAAGAATATGTGATAGGAGACCAGCCGAATGACCAACCTATTCTGCGGAGACGCATCACAGAATAAGCAAACAGCAAACGGAACCTCTCTGACAACGATCCAAGAAAATGCGTTATATACGGATCAAAGCGTAGCTTAAGCCATCAGAGAAGCAGTGAAATTACGGGGAACCTGCCCTCAAATAGATCGATCACATCAACACAACAGTCGATTTCTTAAAATCATATAAACAAACCCAGGAGGGTGGGAACTGCCACGTTCATTGCAAAGCTTGTGAAGAAGTTTGCGTGGTATGAACTGGATCGCATGAACCAGATCGCATGAACAAAAAATTTAAATTCCACTCAAAGTTTAGAACGGACGTGATTTGAACAACAGTCACGTACTATCGTCCTTGGTATGAGCAAAAAAAGGGTATGAATTCATTCAAGCGTTACACTGCGTCAACAAAGTTATCATCATTCGTGTGAACGTTCTCGCAAACTACCATAGGCTAATCACAAGGAAACCGCAGAACTCTAGGGGTGGAAACTCTACATGAAGATATTGAGGAGAGGCAGGTGAGTTCTAACCAAATGGACAAATCGAATTGCTGGAAGTATGGAGGTATCCAACGAATCAAAGGGCTAGACCGAATGAGCAGTGTAGAGCGATTTCACAGGGAGAGAAAGTCCTACCAGGCATGGGTCAGTGAGACAGACTTCAGAGGCACACCGAAGACAGATATGTCGAATCGGGAAAGAATATGTGGTAGGAGACCAGCCGAATGACCAACGTATTCTGCGGAGACGCATCACAGAATAAGCAAACAGCAAACGGAACCTCTCTGACAACGATCCAAGAAAATGCGTTATATACAGACCAAACCGTAGCTTAAGCCATCAGAGAAGCAGTGAAATTACGGGGAACCTATCCTCAAATAGATCGATCACATCAACACAACAGTCGATTTCTTAAAATCATATAAACAAACCCAGGAGGGTGGGAAATAACCGCGCTTTGGTGTTTTTTCCTCTACTTGTCATGAAGTTTTTAGGGAGAACCTGTAATTTCCTCTCAATATTGTGATGGATTTTCATAAAGTAAACTATTCACAAGGTTTGTTCAACCACATGGAAAATACTTGAAACCGATTGAGTAGTCATCGCTTTTTTTGTATACTTATANAGCGTAGCTTAAGCCATCAGAGAAGCAGTGAAATTACGGGGAACCTGCCCTCAAATAGATCGATCACATCAACACAACAGTCGATTTCTTAAAATCATATAAACAAACCCAGGCGGGTGGAAAATAACCGCGCTTTGGTGTTTTCCTCCACTTGTTATGAAGTTTTTAGTGAGAACCTGTAATTTCCTCTCAGTACTGTGATGGATTTTCATAAAGTAAACTATTCACAAGGTTTGTTCAACCACATGGAAAATACTTGAAACCGATTGGGTAGTCATCGTTTTCGAAAAAGTTTGGTGACAATAAATAAATCTACCGATTGTCACCAAACTTTTTCGAAAACGATATTCACAAGGTTGTTGAAAACGAGAGATTCAGTCTCCCGTGAAAAATAAACTGATTTGCAAACGAGCGTATTTCACTAATTCCGTGCAATTTGGTTTCAAGTACAATGTCGAAGGAAACTCGGTGACTGCGTCTACCTGATGAGCCCCAAAAGGGGCGAAACCGATCGTGGGCTGTCGAAGAGTTTTCAGCAACCTTGTGGGTAGTTTCGTTCATGGAAATATGCTGCGATATCTCGAATGTCGTACTAAATGAAATATGAGTGGGCTTTGTGTTGGACTGCCATGAAGTTGCTTTGCTCGACGTTGAAACATGACAAACCAAAAAAACAGGCAAGCTTCATCAACGTACTTGAGAAGTAAGGCTCGTAATTCTGCAAACTATTTACCTCACTCGTTAGGCAATAAGATCTAACCACTCTTCTGGAGACAAAGTTTTTCTATGACAGCTGAAGGACTCGGCGTTTTTGTCATAATCGCCTCGTATGGGCGATGCTCTCGTCATCACCTACTGCTAACATGTTGGAGTCAGCCAAAAATGTGTGCGGGTGGAAAAAATGTGAAACTCAAAAGGAGTCTTGGTTTGCACTAAATCCAATTGTGATGGGCTTTTGAAGTTATGGCAAGGTGGTCCAATGTGACTACCAGGCAAAGACAGTGGATGAGCGGGGTAGGAAAAACTCACCAATACAATTGTTCGTCTTGCGAACCCACGTGGTAGATAACTTCCCCCTTTTTACCAGCTGATCTGAGGCGAAACCAACCAGCTGCGCAAACGAGCATTGGATCAGATAGGGGATAGCGGAGAGGAAGCCATTCTAAAAAAAGACAGAAAGAATGACGGCTAAGGGGAGAAAAAACTTCAAAAATGAGATTTATGAGTTCATGACAAACCAGTATCCGCTGTTGAACATCTTCTCTATTGCAGTTCCTCAGTCTTGTCACCGTCGGCCTTTCACAAAGTTCGGTATTAAAATGCTTCCGTGTGTCGTGGGATTCGAGTGATTTTTCACGAAATGCCACACTCATTGTTTTCTACCTCAAGAAGGACTTTACTCCCATGTATGTTTGGCCCTGTGTTTGGGCTAGGCCGGCGTGAAGCCGGGACAGCTTCATAGTACAGTTGAAGTTCGTTTGGGCTACGACCAACCACCTCACCACTTTTACTTATCGAAAATCAAATTTGAAGGGCTAAACTGATCAAAGGAGAGAATTGCTGACCTAGCTATTAGAGAGGCAAAAGAACCAAGTAGGTGCAATTGCATTACAGAGTGGGGTTAAGGTGTTGAACGTGGATTATTCTCCGGCAAATATAAGCATGATATGAACCATGCTGAGAACATTCGACCGTAGTAGTGATGTTTTCTGAATGGACTAGAGGCTTCGTCAAATCATATGCTTTCATGACTGTCATTAGATTCCGCGATCTCTTTATTCCTGTGAATGCATTGCTCAAGTCCTTGGGAGACGCAACACAAATGAAATGACGATAATCTTAAACGGAGATGAAAAGGATAGATTTGACCAAATCTCAGGTTACACGTTACAACTCCTAATCGATATCGACGACAATTCCGGGATGTCGATTCTAAACGGCAACCTATGAAGTATAAGGACCGCATTTTGATCCGATGGGAACAGACGGTCCCCGCACCTGGACCGTCTACATGCGTGACACGTTTTTTCCCTTCAGAAGAATAGTGTACGTCAATCACCAAAGGACTATTCGAATAGATATGCTTTATATGTAACTTTATTTATTCCTCGTGTAGAATCTTTCCGCCAGCTTATGAACTGGTCGTGTAGCTGGTGGCTAAGAAATCGATGTCCCATCACGTGAGTCGCGTGAACAGAGGACGGCGAACTGTCCTGTGTCTTTACCGCAGTTATAGATCAAGCCACATGTTGACCTCATAAAGGCATGGACACTCCATTGTTCTGTCATCATGTTTGTAAGCGAAAGCTCCAATTGTTCCGGGAAGGGGTAGATCTTCAGTGATATAGCGGGATGAGTTAATTTATGCGACGAAAACCGTCGTGATTGAGTTCGACTTTGCCAACAGAACATCAGTGACCTACTGTTTAAAACTTAAGGGTGAACTTAGACAGAAAACGTGATTTCAATTGTGTTACGCCACCATGTGTGTCAGACACACATCCAAGCAACATCAGAAGTAATGAAAAGCACAACCGTGAGCAGAACACTCGGATGTGTGAACTACTTCACCAAAAGGGTGAGTGACACCAAGTTGAAACTCAACTTCGGAAAAATTACGCTGATTTCTCTGATTTGGATACTGTTAGACATGCCAAAATTGCTTCCTCAGCCTTCCATGGTTTCACCTTGGTATCCTTTGAAGTATCTTCAACCCGGTAAATTCAGTAGGGGGCAGTTGCATTCTCTACTTTTATCCTTTTACGAAACTCCGTGCTATCGAATGTAACTGGTAGGCGTGTGTAGGCGTTTTCAAACTATACAGGTCCATGTCACCAAAAGATTTCGGTGCAAATGTACAGTGCTTCTCGCTTTTTCATCATAGATTGGCTTCAATTTCAGGACAAAATCTCAGTTTAGAATTACTAAATTTCCTCACACTACTCTCAATCAATAAGTAGCGCAGAGGAAGAATAGTTGTACGTGCCGTCAGAGAACTCACGTGTATGTAGTTTGTGATTGAGCGATGAGTGGCACTATGTCCTTTCTGAGTGAGAGCTAACCGCATTGCTGCCCAGCCACTCTTGGCCAAACAGAAGGTGGTCAATCATTGGTCGGGAGGTTGCGGGTTCGAAACTGCCTGAGTTTAGTGAAATGCGCACGATTGATGATGCTCAATAAGGATAATACAGGTGTACAGTGAGCTTCTCGGTTTTCCAGCGCACGATGTTCTCACTTCCAGTGAAAGGAAGGAGGCCTTCACTGGGGAGTTATTTATTAGGAAATGCCAACTGACCGGTTACAGACCATTCGACAGGGAAGCAAATCTCTCATTTGCATTTTATTTACAAAAACTGGACATCCATCTTCTCCTGAAAGCGTCTTCTTGAACTTTCCTTCATATTCATTGACTCCAATCATTCATCGCTCGAATCCAAGCAAGTGTTACAAAGCTACTCCACAAATTCTGCAACAGATCTCCCCTTTTCAAGAGACGCAAAGCGAAAATACACAGACAACACATACTACTCGCGTACCTCCCCACCAGTAGTATCACCATTACAAATCAACAGACCAAACCTCGTTTTAAAACTGTAATATTCCGCGCTCGTTAACCCTATGACTACTACCTTGTGATGATCGTATTTCTTCGCTAGTGAGAAATAAAAAATATTTCATCACCATGGCACGTGGGTTACGCAGATTAGCTTCTGTTCGTTTTCTCAACTCCACCATCCCGTGGTCTTATTGCTCTGCCCAGTTCCCATGAAACACCACTGCGTCGTGTCTTGTACTCTTGCTCTAGTTCCCTGGCTAGTACATTGAAACGAACATGTTCGAAGAACAATTACTGTACCATTGACAATTCTGCTGGAGGGAAGTTGGCACAGCGCTACCGAACGCGATAAACATGGTTGAGTTAAACGTGTCGCTCAGCCCTTTTCTATGAAAACCAAGGTTTTAATATCCATAGCATATGTAGTTCGGTTGATTCGGCATTACCAGTGCAATTTCGAACCAAACCTCTGTCTCTTGGCTTCCCCTGTCTAGGCTTGGGTAACCTGACAGCCCTCGCGTTTCCTCCGGGTAGAATGGCACCAGAAGGATGTTACGGCCGGACCGGCGAAATAGAACACGAAGGAAGAGCAAATGCCAAATTTGTCAGACGTTTTTAGAGGCTTACCGTTTGCACGACATAATGTTTCACATTAGAGTGAAATTGTTCATTTTTGACACGATTCAGAGTGTACTTATCAGAGGTTTTACTCCAGACACACCTAGGCTAAGCCCGGCGAACAGATCGACAGCCATCAGATTAACAACCAGAGCAGATTATCCTGTTTACTACAATAAACGTTGTTGCAAAACTTCGTCGGAAAATTAGAGAAATACACTCATTTGCAAACCAGACAAGTTTGGTTTTGCGAGGGACTCACCTGGAACCCAGGTGAATCTCACGTTGGTGACGTTTCCAGGTAACTGAATGTGCTACACCAGGCCGCCTCATGTTACAGTCGCTACGATATTCGAGATATCGCGATACATATATATTTTGTAACGCACTACTCATAGGGTTACTGGAAACACCTCGACAGCCCACGACCGGTTTCGCCCTTCTTGGGGCTCATAAGGAAGGCGCAGTCCCCGGGGTTTCCGTCAACCTTATGTTCTACTTGAAACCAAATTGCACGAAATTAGCGAATATACACTCATTTGTAAAGCAATTTGGTTTTTGCGAGAGGTTCACCTGTAAACCAGCTGAATCTCTCGTTTGCGAAGTTTCCAGGCAGCTGAACGTGCGACACCAGGCCGCCTTATGTTTCAGTCGCTACGATATTCGTGATATCGCGATACATGTATATCTTTGTAATGCACTACTCATAAGCTCAATCCGATTAGTTTTAACCTCATGCCGTCAGGTGGCGTCTACTGAAAAAAGTAATCGTTTGCAAGCAGTTGTTAGCATAGGAGAGAAAATGTAATAAAAAAACTCACACAAACTTACACTAGCCATGGAAAATCCAAGCACACGGGACATGTAGGTTGGCATGCAGGTGATCAAAGTGTACCAGGACCAGTTGTAGGTCATGTGACAAACCAGTACGGACCAGAATGGTCGACAGCATAGGAGACGAAGCCATGGCACACGTGGGCGGAGTGCCTTGGCTCTAGTTATTCTCGGGCCCGTATCGGATATTGGTGCTGTCGGATTGAAGTCTACCGAGCTGAATGAGCAAATATAAGAGAAGAATGTTTTGCCGGACAGGCCAGAGTAAAATACTTGGCGCCAGTCGTTCAACAACTTTAAAATAGTACATTTGAGACTGGATATTCTTCCACGTACATAATATGGGAAAAATATCATGGGAACTCGACTCCTGGCGAGTGTTTATGAATTGCCAAGTTACCATTCCTGAAACAGAATGTTGCATATTATCGCTGTCATTGAAAGGGTTGGAAACACCCGACGGCCGTCCGTATGTCGCTAGTCCCCATGACCCCGTTTAAGTGAAGCCTTCAAATTTGAAAAGTATATCGCTCAAATTAATTGTCTACTGGATTTATCATAAATTTGGTTTCGGTATGTAGAAATCCCCTGAAGAATCGTGTTGCACGTGCAATCACCATCATGATAATCATCGTCAGCATGACATCAGTGTTCGCTGCCGTACAACCATGGTTTATTTGAAAGCCTTATTTTGAAGAAAAGAGTAAAGGTGGACCGGGAAGGGACTTAGTGCTAGCTTACCACAATCATTCCGAGGTGCCTACACCTCCAGACATTCATTCAGGCAATTTGGATAGAAACTGATAACAAGAACGCCACTGACATCGGTTGGCAGCCATATCTTGTAGTGTCTCCAACCAGGCACAGTGAGGATCACGCGGTCCCCATCCTGGAAGGCGAGTAGCATCGACAGCACCCAAATGTTACGTAATCTCCTTCATACTTCTCTGCCAAGTCAAGGGTTGGCCACCTCTCTGTTTACGCCACTCCGAATTGGGCATGGAAAACAGTACTCTCTTCGGCAAACGATGGTTCGGCATGCGTAACACATGTCCCAACCAACGCAGCTTCTGGCGCTGGACACATTCTTCAATGGAAGTACCCGTTACACAACCGAAAACACGCTTTCTAACTGCCTCGTTACGGATTCGCTGACACCAACCCACACGAGCTATGGTTCTCAGACAACGATTGTCGAACACCTGAAGACGTCTCAGTTCCGCTGCTCGAATAGACCAAGTCTCACAGCCACGCAACAAGACAGCCCACACTGTAGCACACACGTCCCTCGATATTCTGTGTATTCAGAAGTAACTGGATGTCCAACCGGTATCATCGTACCTGCGACTTATTCCTTAACATTGTTGGGTACCATCTCTTTACATGATACACCAAAGAGAAAGCAAGGATGTTAACACGGCAAATTCGATTGGTCAGTATTGATAGATCGATGACCCTGCGTTTGACATGCGCTTTCGAAAGGAGTGTAATTCATCTTGAATACTGTTCTTAATGCATGAGTCTTGGCTGTTGCTGAAGAACAGAGCAATTATGCCAAACCCAAAGGATGTCGGGATAACCGATGAATTGATCGCAACAAGATGAGCTTGGTTGAAACACCTTTTGAACACTATTTTGGTTCTAAGTACCGAGAATAACCAAAAAACACTAGTGGTTATTTTCATAAAGGAAACTACTCACAAGGTCGGTGAAAGCTCTTCGACAGCCCACGACCGGTTTCGCCCTTTTTGGGGCTCATCAAGTAGGCGCAGTCCCCGAGTTTCCGTCAACCTTATGTTCTACTTGGACCCAACTTGGACTGTTTTCGAGAGATACATATGGTTTACATACTGTTGATGAGAATAAAAAATCTGAGGAGACGGCGCGCCACTTCACTTTTCAGCTTATTCGAATTTATTTACCTGAGTTTTGTAGTGAGGTTGTTTTTCAGTTTGTCTGACGTTGAGCTGTCGTGAAATTTTTCAGTCTTGGAATCTGGAAATGCAGCTTATGTCCATTCAAGGCTTGCTGTGAACGGCCACAATCTACTCTACAAATATTGATCCACGTATAATGGTGGGTTATATAACAAGGCAGGTTTTAAAAGTCAAATCTGTCTGCTGGAAATCCAATCATGTATTCCTTAATCACATGACAACTGTTCACATTTGACATCAGTTTAAACGTCGTAGAACACTGGGAAAGAGACACACAACTATGCCCGACTCTCTCCTAGTGCCGAACACGGCCTCGGCTCGAAGTTCGGGAGCAGAATCAGTTCCTGAGTTTGTGGGAAATCTTTCATGCTCCAAGAAAATGCTTTTTTTACTCTCTGTGAACACCAGTTTGCAATGAGACCACCTTAGACAAGTTCTTGGAAATCTACATAAATTAGCGGTCAACGTGAAAAAATGCCGTAATAACCCCAAGCGGTGCAGCGCGCAACTTACAAGGTCGTTGGGAAACGAGACAGCCTTCATTGATTTCTCGTCATACGAACCGTGTTGTGGAGTTTGAACATGTCTGATTGCAGTAACCGTATCATTATTATATTTTGCGTCCAACACGAACAAAAGTGTCACTTTGGATGTGACCAGACAAGCGTTTCTGCTCAGAAGGATATAAAACTACACAGTGTCTAATTAACGTCTGAAAGCAACATTTAGGGTTGCCTTAACTGCAAAATTTGTGAACCTTGCGTTCACATCACTCGCGTGAACAGTCGCACATGTGTCCTGGCCTTATCATTCGAGTGAGTCCAAGCACTGGACTCGAGTTTCGCTCTTTTCAGGACACATTAGCTGTCCATTGCCGCGTCGGTGTGTGAATTCCGGATGTTTGACATGTGAGGCTAGCGAGTTTCCACTACTTCATCAGAGAAAGTTGGACATATCTGAATTTTTAAATGTGGGAAGGCAAACTTGTTCACATAAAGGAAACTACTCACAAGGTTGCTTAAAACTCTTTGACAGCCCACAACCGGTTTCGCCCTTCTTGAGTCTCATCGGGTAGGCACAATCACCGAGTTTCAGTCAACCTTATGTTCTACTTGAACCCAAATTGGATCGTTTTCGAGAAATACACTCATTTGCAAATCAGTTTGGTTTTCACGGGAGAATCAACTGAATCTCTCGTTTATGCTATTCTACAACTGAATGTGCTGCACACAGGCCGCCTCATGTTTCATTTGGCACAATATTCGAGATATCGCGGTATATTTTCATTGAAGAAACTACTCACAAGGTTGCTGGAGACTCTTCGACAGCCCACGACCGGTTTCGCCCTTCTTAGGGCTCATCAGGTAGGCGCAGTTCCCGACTTTCGGTTAACCTCATGTTCTATTTGAACCCAAATATCATAAGCGAGAGATTCAGTTGAGTCTATCGTGAAAACCAAACTGAGTTGCGAGTGATTATATTTCTCGAGAGCTTGTTCACACTTGAGCGATGTGATTTGTTCGCCGGACTCCTCAAACGACAACCCAGTAGCCGTTCGGTTTGCCTGACTGTCATTCCGGTGTTGTCCAAACGTGACAGCGGACTTGACACAGCTTATGGATTCGAAACCACCGGATTACGACCAATCTACCAATCCGTCCAACACTTGGTCACCCACTCCAACACACAAAAATTCCTCGACCGACACCCAACAGAGATTTAGCTTGACTTAGCTGATAGGTTCTCGTGCCGCCTTAAATCTCGACCGACCTCGTAACCTAGATACGTCGCGTTTGTGTCAAAAGCGAAACGTTGCTCAGCAATAAATCTACCGATTGTCACCAAACTTTTTCAAAAACGATACATTGGAAATTGACGGAAGGTCTATTAGTGGTATTATTGTGTTATCCCGTCTACCTGGTGAGAAACGCTTCCATTGATTGGTGCATCATATAGGCCAAGAAAGGGGATGGATGACTTGGAGGATGATTGGCTGAAATCTCATCAACCAATGACAAACGAGTTCACTTTTTGGACTTTTACGAAAACAACATCATGCGGATCCATCATTTGGACGCAGGGTGACGAATAGGTTTAATGGATTCAATAATTCAATTTACGTAAAAGAGGTCGAAAGACAGGTATTGTCTGACAAGTCCTCACCGCTCCTAACTCAGAACTACTCTGTTCGGCTCAATTCATACGTGCATCGATTGATGGAGCGTCAGAAAGTGTAGGAAGCCAGGGATACATTCAATCCTTGTATATTGGATGTGATGGAATACTCAATAACAAATGAAGGATTTCACCAGACTCACGGCTTTAACCATGATAAGGAAAGGACCTCGTCAATCGAGACCACTCTTAGTTTTTCTGATATGTTAGCTAATCCTCTACTTTGTATCATTTCGCTGATTTATGGAAGCACCTGCAGTAATTTTGCGATGATTATGTTACATCGAGGCGGTACTCTACCCTCCTGAAGACATGTTCCATTCGCTCAGTCAAGCGGTTTGGCTTAGAAGTACACCGGGTAGAAGACACCGCACAGAAGCGCGACGCTTTGGTCTCTTCTGGGGAGAGTCTCTTTGGACAGAGGAACTAAATGAGAACTAAGAAGAATGC